CGTAAGTTTACTATTGTACTTACTTAATACATATAAAATTGACAGAGTATAGAAAAATCTGTAATAGCTACCAGGTATCTATGTCCAATATTTCAAAATTAAGGAATAGAATATTGCAGACATCGTTTTATTTCAGCGACATATGGTCCTAAATTGTTCATCTGGTATAGCCATCCACATCGCAATATTCTTCTCATGTGGCTACTCTGTTCAATGAAAAAGGGTTTTATTTCTTAGCTTCGAAGCCTACTTAATAAATACGTTTAACATAATGATATAGAGATAATTGCGATCTAAAAATCTACATGAATATGTTCAAGTTTATTTTATTTTCGAAAACATAGAATCTTCCATTATAATTGTTCATTTATTAGATTGTCAAGGTCGGTATTGTTGTGCTATATTGGACTTGTCGCGTAGATGACTATAGACATAGAGGAAATCAGCCAAACTTAATAAGATTCAAAATGTAATAAGCTATTATTAAGCACTAAGGATTGCCATTTCGTTCGAAAACGTGCCTCTACGTACGTATCTGAATTAGGCCATTTGTCGACCTATCCGAGGGCATACACATACAAACGAGCTTGCCTCAGGCTCTTGTGCAGTTTTGAAGTGCCCCACATCAGTGGAATATCTGGATGCATACATTGACGTCATTGGCTCTGACGGCTGTCATTGTTGAATGTCTCAGTGTTCATGCTGTATCTTACCTGCCAGTGATACAGGTTTATATTATATACAAGGATGGATACATATATATATATATATATATATATATATATATATATATATATATCTAAAGTTAAAGCATTATATTGCATAAAACACTAAACTTGACTACTTAGCAGGTGATTAAGTAAGTAGCTGGATGTTTTTGTGTGGACGTAATCCTTCCGTGTACAAGTTATCCGCACTTAGGGGCCTTCCTTGCTGCTATAATGAGTTCAATCTGTGCACTGTGCAATATATACCTTTTGAAATAATTCCTAGATACATATAGAATATCCATTCATTAGTGAAATAATTATATGTTGATCATTACCGCGTCCACGTGAACCTTTAGACAGGCAGATTACATACGTATGTACTCTGCGTCGATGAGATACAAATTCATTCGTATAAAGGAGTTGAAAGCAAAATGTTTCCAATGGACAAAGAGGGCTATTATAAATCTGTACAATATTTTGAATCTCATGAACAGCCCTTAACTACGCAATTTGTATTATAAGCGAAATTTGAAGAAATTCTTACTACTGGGATTTTTTTTTAAAATCATCGAGCATGAACATATGCTTATGGTTGTAACCATGCAAGGAAACTTTATTTTCACGTGTAGAAAGTCTCATCCTTAAAGAGATACTGTTTCTGGTCATAGTCACTGCCTTTGGTCTTCTTAGTCTACATAACTGTTCCTACATACAATGTTTAAGCTAGCGCGTAGCGTCTGCTTGGATATCGTAAACAATCACAACTGCTATAATACACAGATTGTATAGCTTTTACAAGATGCTTCTCACTCCACATTGCTTTGCAAGTGTAGATACAGGTTTCTTATCTGGGCCGATTGGCTGAGTCTACGTTATCCCAAAATTGTATTTCCAGTATATAGGAATTATTATACAATAATTTTTATCGATGTGATCACTACACATGGTCGCACAATATACTAGCTAGTGATATTTAGGATCCGCAAGTTGTACCGCCCCTGTTGTCGTTCTCAATATCCCTCTGTGGTGGTCGTTGGCAAGACCGTACCGATTACGTATAAATGACCTTGGTTGCTTCTCATGAAGCGCTCGTAGTAACTAGATGTGTTGCGTATCATAGTGACACAAAGGGCATGAGAATCTTCCAGGCCATGTCATAATGGAAAACTGTGCAGTGGACCTCTTTGTTACATATTGCCTCGATTTCCTCGATCAGTTTCAAAAGTAACTATACCTGACGTGCCTTCTAGGTCATCTGGAGGCTTCATGCTTCATCCCTCGCTTCACTGACGAGTTCTACATTTTTCTACAAATTTCTTATTTTATATATTTCTTCTTTCTATACGTGTCACATGGCTATTACGTTTTGCCTCAAACTATTAAGGCACATTTTTCCACAATGGTCGCATGCTGTCGTGTTAGAAACATACGCAGGGCTTAGGGGTATATCGGTACTCCGATTGTACCGTTAATGTTCCACTTTTATTGTTAATGTTTTTTTAATTTTAATATTTTTGCATATTTTAATAAAGTTGTGCTGACCTTGACGAATGCCTTATTATAACAATGGATCGCCTTAAGGCAATTATAAACGATGTTTAGTAAAGTATAGAACGTCTAAGAGTATTATAAGCTAAATGCAGCATTGCCATCAGGCACTTTGTACTGCATAGGCAAACTTTGTTGCCTGTGCAGTAAAGAGTACCCAGTAAAAAGTAATCATACCCAGTATGAAAAATATCAGGGAATTACTTTATTAGAACGAAGGAGGTTCATTTATGATGAATGAAGCCTTTCGTGAAACTTGGAAAGTCTTATGACATTCGTTTACAATACTGGCAGCCCATATTACAATATAGCCAGCGGGTTGGACCCCAGGCTAGTCGTTCAACTAAAACCTAATTAACTAGACTACATTTTATAGGCAGCCACGTTGCCACTATTTAAACTATTTGTATCTATAAATTTCAATATGCAGAGCTATTTGTGACACAAATCGTACTTCAGTATGGGTATGTTAGCGCACTTCTTATATATATATATATATATATATATATATACGTATGCTTCAGTTTCTTTCAGACAAGCTAATTGATTTACTGTTTAATTAAGTTACAACTGTATTTTGATTATTTTGTATACTTTGCCCCATAGCGTTAAGGATCCACATCAAAATATTGTGGAAACTTTCATTTTTCATTCATTGTAAAAAATTAATAATCTCTGAAGATTATTAGTACATATCTAAGATCTCACTTAATGTTCAGATACGTAAAAACTTCACGCGTGTGTGCACATCGAGTGTGTTCTGTTTTTTTTCTGGATCACGTCAATTATAAAATAGATTTGTTTATTCCGACCCTTGAATAGAAAAAAAGAAAATAACAGTAAAAAAGTCAATCGTGTTTAACGTGCAATTTTTGTTGTTCTTGAATTTTGTGTTTCCAATGTTCCATTTTTATCGAAGGGACGAAATAGAATCAAGGTCGTTTCAGTAACCTTGAGTGAACAAAAACAAATTTACTTAGTGTTTTATGGCTGTAAACTTTATTATTAATTTCACAGATCATACTTAATTGCTAGCATTTCGAAGAATTCATTTCAAGGGTACCTATACATTCTAATGATTTTCTCCTACCTTTACAAAGGCCGTTATCCTACCTCTTCAAACGTTAGGCTTAGCTTCCCTCTTAATAAAAATAGGTTTTCTAAATAATAAATAAAAATATGCCTCACACACTCTTTGGACAAATCTTTTAGGGATTTCATAATAAAATGTTAATCTTTTCTTTAAAAATTTAGACGTAGTGATTGCTCTCATCAAATTTAGGTAGATGATTTAGTAATGTGGTATCTCTACCTTATCACTTTGGCAGGTTTGTGAATATGTCATAGACGTTAGGCATAGACCTACAATAGGAAATTCCCTTCGAAATCACATTTCCTTTGATGACGGGAGTTTGTCGACGTTTGGTGGTGGCACCGTTTGTTTTAGCCACTATCATCTCAAATGAGTTTCTAAAAGATAAAAATGTCAAAGGAAGACTCCGCATCTACCAGCACCTGGTGTTGTAGCGATGAACAAGGCCCTTCTAGGGCCAGTGATTCATTTTGTTGGCGGGGCTTTGGAGCAGCGCGACTTTCCTAACTATCACATTCAACTCTATTCTCGGGTGAACTCAATCTTACTGGCCCATTTAGATTGCCAGTTTGACATCGTCGGCTTACAATATATTGTAAGAACACACTGCATTTTGCGAAAAAGTTTATCACCATGACGAGTAACAAAAAATCAAAGCGATCCCTTGCTTAGTAAGTTTTATGTAATAACAGCGTTGTTTAAAATTTCGCATATATAATACCGATAATGTACGTTACTATCCGTTTCACAGATTTGCTTAGGTTGTCACTTATTGATATTAATAAACATATATTTTTTGCATATAGTGGAATTAAGTAGAATTCAATATCAAACTTAAAGGAAGTTGAATGTTTCAGATTAGAAAGCAGTGATTATCGAAACTTGCATTCAATATAAGTCTCATTATTTTTTATTATAAATCCATCTACGCAATTAGGTTACCAGCCTTCAAATTAAAGCTTCCATATATACATATATATAAATATGGATATATTGTTTTCTTTCGTTTCAATAAGGTGCAAAATTGATTGCTGAACCTATTAGTCTTGTTTGTAATCTGAAGAGGAGCTTATTATCGAATCCATCGAAAACCCAGAATCGCTCTCAGAACTATTAAATGAACCGTTTCTGGCAGGCGCTGATGACCTAATGACCTTCTTCAAAAAATTCAGACAACTCTAAAGTTAAAACAAAATTATTTCTTATTAATCATGTAGTTTTAATAAAATGCATTTAACGTTATAATATTATTTTACTGTTGCTTTGCACCCGACTGGTTTTCGTTTTCGCCTTCATTATCCAATTGTGAATACGCATTGTGAAGATACTAGAATATTTTGAGTTATACTGCCATGGCAACTAACAAACAGCAGTAGGTCTTGGTGATAAGATTCTTCAATCGCTAAAAGAAGAATATAGTATCAGCCTTACTTAACTCTGTCCTCCAACGAGCTCTGTAAGCTGCAATCTGTGGGTCTTCTTGGTTTGAAGAACTGTGAAAATTTGAGTCAAGTGTTAATCTTGATCAAAAGCAGTTGTGCTAAAACAGTTATTAATTTCCAAGCACATTGCGCAAACATAAGGCACAATATTTCAGAAAAACATACTCAATATATATAAGATCTTCACTTTGATTCCATTCCTTTCAGTATTCAGATTTTTACAAGAAGGATCACGAACCGAATTCTATAATAGCCCAAAGCCAAGTGAGAGACGCATTATGTTCGGACTGCTCACCAGAATCGAGACGATGTATCGGCGAACGAGGTCTGACTGGAATCCGCGGCCAGAAGGGCCTTCCCGGCCCTATGGGTACGTGAATAGCCCCAAAAAAATATGGCCAATTTTTGGAACCGTCTATATTCATCTATACAAATACCTAAAACGCCAATAGATCCGTAGCCTTGTTGCTTAAGTTGTGATCTCTGCTGCAATTGCACGGCGGATGAGCAAAAAAAGCCTATAGTCGTGAAAAAAATCTCAAGAAATGATTGGCCGCTATTGTATACTGCATTTTAAGGTAAACACTGTACTGACTAGTACTATTAATGCTTTCATTAAAGCATATTTTTTTAAATTATTTTTACGCTATTTATGTTGTAGGTGTCATTCTTATGTAGTTCGACAGTAAGCTTATAGTAAACCGACCAAACAGATATCACACCGTCAGACCCATTGAAAGCGTAAGTGAATTTAGACTTGTTAATCGATTTGTCATAAATTATTGTACAGGACCACCGGGGCCTCCCGGTGATGAAGGTCTGCAGGGCGAAAAGGGAGAACAAGGTTTACCAGGACTAGCTGGAATGAAGGGGGGACGTGGTGATCCTGGACGTAGAGGCGTTTCCGGCTTGCACGGAGAGCCAGGACAGCCTGGAATGCCTGGTAAGTATCCGTTTATCTTTCTATCTTGTTTCCGAACTAGTACTTCTTCTATATCTGTTAGCGACCGTAGCGACAGTGTGATGTCTCAATACAAAGTGCCCTATAAATAGCATATACAATTAACGTGTTAGTACAGCTTAATCGTAGTAACCGTACACAGCACTTAAAATGAAGGCGTATGTTACTTAAACATATTTAATTAGTTTTTGTTTTTAATATATTCCGCGTGCACTAAAAATACTACATGCCGAAAAGGTATTGTAGATGATAAGAAGGTTAATTTTTTGTCTATGTGCTTCATATGTTTGAAGCAGTGATCACGAACAGTTTGATTTTTGCGCAATGAGTAAGACTGCAAACGTTAGTTAGTTCGCACCATACGAGTAGTAAATAGCTTAAATTGAAAAATACTCGGGTTTTAAGTTTAGTAATTAAGTAAAAAAGCCGTTATTGGTACCACCTCTTCTTTGTTAACCCCACGAGCTTTCAACAGGTGTATTATCCCACACCCGCCAGACCACTTATTCATCGTATTTTTATAGCAGGCTACTTATTCGAATTCATAATTATTAATCAGGTGAGCCCGGAAGACCTGGCTTACGCGGGAAGGACGGCTACAATGGAACTCGTGGTGACGTCGGTATGATAGGATTTCCGGGGCCAAAAGGCGCGGATGGAAGACCGGGAATAATGGGTCCACCCGGCCAAAAAGGAGAACCTGCGTATGGAGGTGTAGGTGCTAAGGGAGAAAAAGGCTCACCAGGTATTCCCGGACCTCAAGGACCGCCAGGTATCACTGGTCAAGACGGTTTTCCAGGTAGAAAGGGTGATCCTGGACCTTCTGGAAACGATGTAAGTTGTACTTTTAGTACCGTGCCATACTAAACCGAATGCAATACTGATTTGCGCGCAGTAATTTTGAAAAGATGTAGGATCCATTTTGCGACAGCTAAGTTTAGCAACCTTACTTAAGGGCCAAATATTAATAATACCTTACTTCTTGTCGTATATTTGATCCCTGTGCACGAAGTGTTTCTATTTCATGTGCACGATCATTTAATACGTTCATTGTCGTTTCTAGTAACCATCCAACTCTTCTTAGAGGAAACTTCCGATAACTTTTGCGACAGAAGAACATGACTTATGTCTTATGATAGGATATGAAATTTTGAGTGCATGGCCTGGTCATATATGTCCATCTTTTATAGAGCAACAAAAGGTAATAACATCGATTACGACAAGCCGTTCGAGGTTGAGTGAACGGACTACCAGCGCAGCTAGGACATTCTCTGAAGAATTTAGGAACCCACTAAACGGTATAGTTGGGCTAGCGTTTCCGTTCGCAGGCATACATCATACTTTTATATTAGATATAAAATTAACGAACTGGCTCCAACCCATTTATGACGACGAAAATCGTACGACTTTACACAATCATCTGTGTGAATTAAAATAAATCGTGCAGAAACTTATGTTTACCAGTTCCTATGTTTCAAGAAACCAGACCACGAGACTTCTTCTAAAGTCTTAAAATAAAATTAAACTCGATGATTTGAAACGTATGGACGATGCTTACGCAAATTTGCGCTCACACAAATTTGCATAAATATCGTCCAAACACAATGTGAGCTATGAATACTGCCATAAGTTGACATGCTGATAATAATTTACTAATGTGTTTCCACATTCAGGGTCGTCCCGGTCAGCCTGGGTTACCTGGGCCACCAGGTATGTCCTTACCAGGCCAAAAAGGCGAAAGGGGGTTTAAAGGCGAACCAGGCCTACCGGGCGAATCAGCCCATTGTTTCAACCGGTCAATTATGGTTGACAACGAAGGTTCTGAACAAATTATCTTCACTCCTGGCCCAAAAGGAGATAAAGGAGATCGAGGCGAGCCTGGTGAAGGTAGTTCACCTGGAGCACCCGGAGCACCTGGTATACCGGTAGATACACTTCTCTGTGTATATTATATAATTCAGTTGCACTGGTGTACTACTTACTTATTTCATTCTTTTTGTCATAAATGTCTAGTTTGGAAGCCAATTCTAAGCGGAAATTTACTCAGTGTTTTTCTTAGCGACTCAGAGTATTCTTACTGCGTTACTAAATCCTCAAGATCACCTCTTCGATATAGCATCAAAAATTTACCCACACTAGAAAGTCCGTTTAGGCCGTGTTTAGCTGAACCTTTTAAGGTTTTTCCAATAGACTTGTGAAACGGCATCGTACACATATATCACGGTAAACATTTACCAACGCTGAAATTTGAACCAGTGATGTATGTTCGTGGTTACCATAGCAGCGTACCTAAAGAGGTGCGCATCAGCTCACTTATTATACGTATAACTAGCAAGCGTTTCAGTCTCCTCTTGGATTTTACCATGGTATCATTAGGACGCCTGTATAGTTCGTAGAATGTTGTTGAATTCAGGCTAAAATTTTTAAACTGTTATTTACTTATATATTACTTTTTGCCTACAGGGACAACCCGGTCTGCCGGGTGAAAAAGGTGACCGAGGTCTGCCAGGCGATCTAGGGCCAGCAGGAGTACCAGGTTACCCGGGCAGTCCAGGTTTACAAGGCCTCAAGGGCGACCCTGGTATCCCAGGCCGGCCAGGACGACCAGGTGAACCTGGACATAAAGGAGAAGTGGGACCTCCAGGACTTCCCGGAGAGATGGGACTAACAGGACCTCCTGGAGCGCCCGCGGTAAGTCATACGATAATAAAAAAATGCCTTTGAACCATTATTCTACATAGCACTAGAGCAAGGATGTAAATGAAGATTAGAACAAGTTTCATTTCATGTTTCCTAGCTAATTTAAAACGCATCAGCTACAGTGTAAAACACGCTGCAAGCTACCTACCCTTAAAATGCTCGATGGCAGTAAGTAATCATTACTCTACAGTCTTTATGTGCTCGGGATATATATAATAATGGCAATCTCTGAAATATGGACTTTTACAGACGGCGGAAGGAAACACGATCGGTCCCCCAGGCTTCAAAGGGGAAAAAGGCATGCCAGGCCCAATGGGTCCTCCAGGTGAAGAGGGCAGACCCGGGGATTTAGGATTGGATGGGTCTCCCGGGCCACCCGGTGCACCAGGGGAACCTGGCCAGCGTGGCAACGATGGTCATCCTGGTCCCCGCGGTGAAAAAGGCGATTCTGGACTTCAAGGTTATCCCGGCCAACCTGGAAGCCCTGGGCTGCCTGGTCCAGAAGGGCTACCTGGGGAAAAAGGATTACCCGGACGAGACGGTTATTCCATCCCCGGAGATCGGGGATTGCCTGGCTCGCCTGGTAAAGACGGAGAACCTGGAGTGCCAGGACGACCTGGCTCCAAGGGGCTACCTGGCATCCCCGGTGATTCCCTCTATGGCCAACCAGGTTAGCGACAATAATTAGTTATCTAATAACACGAGATCCTTTTCTGGCCGGACGCTTGTACAGAAAGTGCTTTTTAACTTAACTAAGAGGTCAGTATGAACCTTACACCCTACCACTTTTGTTTCCAGTTAGTTATCAACCTAGAGTTTATTTTAGGTTTTCCGGGAGAACCGGGACCAGAAGGTCCCAAGGGAGTAGCAGGCAGGCCCGGCCAACCAGGTGTGCCAGGTATTCCTGGAGTTAAAGGAGATAAAGGAGGTGTCTGTAATGCTTGCGAGCCCGGTATACCCGGTCTGAAGGGCGCGCCTGGATACCCAGGTGAGCCTGGACCAAAAGGCGACGCGGGACTTCCAGGAAGCCCTGGTCGAGCAGGTGACCGTGGCTTTGATGGATACCCTGGCGATCGAGGAGCGCCAGGAGAGATGGTAAGTAGAACACTATTAGATTAGGTGAAGGTCGCAGTTAAACAATCTAGTTAATGAAAAACTAGTCAACTATTTGCTTATCGTGAAAGAACTTTTACTATAAACAGTTGGTTCATGCCCTTAAGACAACTTACCATATATGCTAAAAAAGATGACTTACATCATATTCCTTTTTGCGTAAATGCTTACATCGCAAATACTGCTCAGGTCAATAACTGAGACATGACAAATGGGTGCTCTGTATGCATATTTTAGGGGATGCCAGGTTTGATGGGGATGCCTGGCCAAAAAGGCGAGCGAGGTTTAGACTACATCTATGACGGACCTAATGAGAAAGGACCGCCAGGTCCACCTGGCCCTCCAGGATACCCTGGTACCCCAGGTGACCCTGGACCGGAAGGTCCTCCGGGACCTCAAGGTGCTTCCGGACCTCCAGGGTACGATGGTCTACAAGTAAGTTCCTTTTTTCGTTTTGCTTATAGATCAGTATAATAAATACAGTCAAATGTTTTGCTTAAACATTCTCTTCATCGGTTTATGAACAAGCGTTAGCAGTAATAGCTATGCGTTCTTTTTAGTAAAAGCCTTTAAAACCTAAGGGGATCTATACTATGGAACAAAATTGCTATACCAATGATAATTTATCCTTGCGTAAAATTAAAATTAATTTTCATTACTTTAGGGCCAACCTGGTTTACCAGGCGACCCAGGTCCAACTGGACCTCGTGGCGATAAAGGTGATCCAGGTCTGCCAGGCTATCCCGGTTATGGCGAACGCGGTCCGCCAGGCCTGCTCGGAGAACCAGGTCCTCCAGGAATCGAAGGTCCAAAAGGAGACAAAGGAGAGAAGGGTGATCCAGCACCCGAGGCCATAAAATGTGTGTTTATTAGCTCAAATATAAAATTTAAAGCTAAGAGCATGTGTTGACTAGTGATTCACAAACTGGATAATCTAGATGAACTACCTTAACCGTTGATTGTAAATAAATCTGCGTCTTTGCACAGCGCACTCTCCAAATTTTGCTTTGACTAATAGGAGAATAAAAATTAATTTCAACTTTAAAATATACAATGAATATCGGCATTAAGCTTTGCTGAAGCAGACTTCTTCATGTGGATACGTCGTAAACTGAAACAGATAGAGACCAGCCACCCAAGAAAGTCTTAAGACAGCTATAAGCATAACAAATACTTGTAGACGTTGTAAAGTATCTCAGCTTTTTTTTTTTTTTTTTTTTTTTATAAAGAAGTGTTTTTAGATCTTACTAAAAGACTTTCGTTTGAGAACTGGGTTAAATTTTTTTAATGATTCTAGGAACAGTCCAAAATGTTCTGCGCCAAAAATATACTCAAAGTATACCAATAGAAAGTAAATTTAATTATATTGAGAACATTAAATGCGAGTTACTTTTACTAGAATCCACCAAACAGAGAGTTAAGCTATGTAAACTGCGGCTCTGATTAAAAACAAATGTTATTGTTTTCCTCACTAAAAATCATTTAAAAAATATCTGAAGCGCATATCTAGTCACTCTAATGCAACTTAGTAAATACTTCTTTTCGTTCGACACCTGCAGTTAAGGAAAGGGGTCTACCTGGACCCCCTGGTGATAGGGGTCCTGTAGGTATGGAAGGTCCTCCAGGACCACGTGGTCTACCAGGACTAAATGGAATAGACGGACAACCAGGTCAAGATGGCCCGCCAGGTGAGCCTGGCTTCCCTGGGGCACCGGGTCCTCGTGGTCCTCCTGGCCTACCGGGCTCACCCGGACCGATGGGGGTTGAAGGACTGCCTGGGATGCAAGGCCCAATCGGGATCAAAGGTGAACGTGGTCGCCCTGGTTTACCCGGCGAGTTGGGACCCCCTGGAGACCGTGGAACAGGCCTACCTGGTAAGATTGCACAATTGTATGTTTTTTATTAAACAATATCTGAAGTGTAGCTAAGCCGCTTTTAAAACCGCACAAACTCTACAAAAATCTAATCAATGTTCTGCAGTTTTTAAAACACTCATCTGTGAATACGCTCATTTTTATTTTCAGACATATCTATTAATTCTTCAAATATATTCATACAGACTATTCAATATTCAAAAGAATATTCACAAAGAAATATTCAAATGTTTTAAATATAAAAACTTACGTTTTACTTTATTAACAAATATATATACGGTTGAGAAAATAAATATATAGAAAGTTACGTTAGTAGATGTTTTACTTTCTGAAACACCCACGACAAAATTCAAAGACAGTCGTTGTTAAGGGTTAAGTAACATTGATTTTTTCTCTAAGTTTTTTTTTAAATAAATATGTTTTAAAGTATATTATGTATATAAAGTATATAAAAAACATAGCGAAAATACAGTATTCTACAATATGCTTTAAATGCTCGTTAATTTACTCTAGGCTTAACTAGCCACGTGGACATTTTCTGCCCACCTTAGCATTTTTATGATACAAACTGACAAACTGCCAACACTACCGTTAGTGTATGGAATTTATTAAAGATTTCATCCTTCTTTTTTTTTTCGACTGACATAATTTAGAGGTAGGGGCATGAAAAATATTTTACAAGTGTCAAACAATACTAGGATAAGGTCTATAGGATTCTCTAAAAAATATTGATTGTCTTTCTACCTAGGCGGCGTTACGATCACATATATTAGGTTTTAAGAGTCGCGGGTCGGCGTTGGTGTCACTTGAGACTTGGACATGGGATTAAACACCGTGAAAATAGATAAAATTCCTGTGCACATTCTTTCTATTTTACAATTATATTACGATAAATGTACAAATCCTGCCCGGGCTCGTTAAAAAATGTCTACTGTTTATGGTCAAGATGCGTTATCGAAACAAATGGCCTAAAAATGCTTCTCTCGCTCTCGTTTCGGTGGGAGAGACACTTTTCGTAGTGACTGATTAACTATGGAAAAAGTTGATGAGCCCCTTGCAAAAATTAAACAAGAACAATACATTAGTAGCCATCATATCACCAAGGTTATTAGGCACCAAAGCCGGATGCCACACGAAAAATCATCTACTTTATGGTACTTCGAATCCGTACTTCACACAGGTGCAACGAAATTGAGTCAAATTTAGTCATTCTAAAGCGGTTAATCACGGGTGATAAAAAAAAAATGTGTCGCATCCACTGATAATGTGCAAATGAAAAAGATATATTATAGAATTGGTGACAAAGCCCAAACCGATGCCAAACAAAATGTGTTTGATGAAATCGAAACACAACTGTGCATTATAAGTTGCTGAAGCCTGCCAAAACGATCGACTCGGACCCATTTGCACCAAATCGATCGGAACTAGTGAGCAGAAAAGGCGCCCGCCGTGTTTTCGCAGATGACATATATTATTAATCACTCAGAAAAAAACTAAGAGGAGTTGAATAGGAAATTTTAATGCACCATTGAATGATTTTAATTCAGCTTTAATGAGTATATGTAAAGATAGCTTATTCCATTTTTCACCTAGAAATTGCAGAAGTCATACAGTGATGAAATTATAACCAAGGAAATAGCCGAGGGTCATTGACTGAACTGATGCATATTTAGTTTAGTACTAATATTTTAAGATTAAAACAATATTGGTTTCACTTTCGACTCAAAACAGTCGATAGTTTTCCGACGATCCAATAGTAGTTGATCTTAGTAAAAAAATTTTATTCAATGTATTTTCATCTTTAGTGCACGTATTGTTAATGACTTTACATATGTATTTTTTTTATTACGCTGCTAGGCATTTATATATCCTATTAAAACAACTTATTAGAACGAAAAGCAGCACTTTGTGCCGAACACAAACTGATGTAATTCACGCTAAGGTACTCGATAGCTATACATATTGTCAAAATACAACTTTATTTTTATTACCATTTCATGACTAAGCACTAATGATATAATATCTTTTTCTTTCAGGACTAAAAGGCCTACCTGGACCTCCTGGTCCTCCCGGTGAAGCAGGATTGCCTGGCCCAGTCGGGCGTGAGGGGTATCCAGGGCCGTCTGGACTACCCGGCGAGCCCGGCCCCAAAGGAGAACAAGGACTGCCTGGTCGAGATGGACTTCCTGGGCTAAAAGGAGATCAAGCACAGGAAGGCCAACCTGGCCCTAAAGGAGATCGCGGTTTGCCAGGTATTCCTGGTCCACCCGGCAATCCGGGCAACGATGGACTACCGGGTCACCCAGGAGCTTCAGGTCTGAAGGGTGATCAAGGCCCACAGGGTCCCCCAGGTAACCCAGGAACAACAGGCAAGCCCGGTTCAGATGGAGCTGATGGACTCCGCGGTGAGCCAGGGCTACCTGGACCACGCGGGCCGAAAGGAGACCCTGGCAACCCAGGTGAATATTTTTTTAAATTATTAAACGTTTAATTCTAAATACCGTATTACTTACTTAGATTTTCAGTATATGCGGAATTATACTACACTTGTGAAAACATAATGCAAGGAAATTACGGACTGGAAAAATCTCATGTTCTGTATAATGATATTATAATTACTATGTACAAAACACTGTTTATGTATAAATAATGTGTACTTACTGAACGTAATAGGAAACCCTGGGTTGCCTGGAGTACAGGGCCCACCCGGTGTTGAGGGACAACCTGGTAAACCCGGCCTACCTGGTATGCCTGGCAAAGACGGCCCACCAGGTTTTGCTGGCTTTGTAGGTCATCCAGGCCAGAAAGGAGACAGAGGTCTTCCTGGACGTGATGGACTGAAAGGTGAATCTGGAAGAGCAGCCCAAAAAGGGGAACGCGGTAGACCCGGAATTCCCGGAACACCTGGAGCAGAAGGTCCATCCGGCTCTCCAGGTCCCCAAGGGCCGCCTGGCGAGAAAGGCGAAAAAGGTCTTCCGGGAGAAGGTCGTCCTGGCGAACCAGGACCAGAAGGACTCCCAGGAATGCCTGGTCTTCCAGGTATTGATGGTCCACCAGGACCCCCAGGGCCTGACGGACCCCCCGGATTACCTGGAATGCCTGGGAATAAAGTAAGCTTACTTCGCGGTTTAGTAGTAAAACGTTTTTATATTATTACTGATACATAATAGCGCGTAACTTGCGGACTTCGCTGTTCGTGCGTTTAATACGTTTCACTTCTGAACTTCTGGCAAACAGACACAATAGATTTAGCCCGCGGTAAGATAAACAATACTAACTCCGGAGCGACTTACACACACGAAAAACCATTTTTTGTAGTAGAATAAAACCCATGGGTTTAGCTTTGTGCTTGTTCTGTGCATTTGACTGCTCGACCTGTGTGATAAGGGGTTCCGCAGGTACCGTGTTTACTAGCCTAATCGAATACTTTTTATCTGTTAAAAACTCGGAGAGACAGCAACAGCTCCGGGGTGGCTCCAGTTACACATAGACAAAAACCACGTTTTAGTACTCTATAGATAGGATAGAGTATAGCTTATAGGACTTGCTCCGTGTCCGATTTGTTCGTATGACTTCTCGACCTGTGTGGTGAAAATAACGATGCGGGAACTCGGACTTTGGACAGCGGCGGTATTGCCCGACAACCGATTCGATAACCTTCTCTTGGCAGCAACCCTTTCCCACCTTGTAGCAGCCGAGAGACGCAACGCCAGCACCAGGCGATTTGTGTCGCGCACAGACAGAGACACGTCGAGTTTTAGTATTATACTAGAAAGTAAATCACCGAGTCGTGCCCTGCGCTTCGTTTGACCGCTGAGCTGTCGTGTCTTTGAAAAGGACCTGCCGTGTTCTTCTGCTAAACTATGCGAAGACCCTATTCGATAAAAGGCCTCTTATTTATACGCAATTAGGGAAACAAGAACACTTTCAGAGCAGCTCACGTCGCATATACGAACAAACAAGACGCATCTGTAGTGGAATAGAATGTTCTTTGGCTGCTTCATTCGTGTGATGAGGTCAAAAAAATGTTTCTGCGGGCTTTTCTCTACAGCATCCGTATTTTTTTTTTTTAGGCTATTGTACAACCTTCACTTTGTTCGCTAAACCTTTGCTACATATGGGATAATATATGGGAATAATACCATTTTCAGTCATATAACAGTCACTAGAACAGGCATCTAGTTTTAACATATGTATTTAATATTTTGCATGTATACAAAATTATGAAAAGTCTATGTTTTTTGGAATAATCAGAAGTTTATAGCAGCCAATCGAAGCTCAGACATTCTGTATTGATAAAAAAAAAAAAAAAAACTATCCATGTACGGAAAGACTGTTAAGAATAACGATGTATTTAGGGAGATGCTGGAGCCGCAGGTGATCCTGGACCGCCTGGTGCTCCTGGAGCGCCTGGAGCTACCGGATTGCCCGGTCCGCCTGGATATCGAGGAATAAAGGGTAACCCAGGACTCGACGGTCCACCGGGAATGCCTGGGCAAGAAGGAATTGTAGGAGCTCCTGGGGAACCAGGATACCCAGGTTACATTGGAGAGCCGGGCAACCCAGGAGAACCGGGCCGGCCTGGACCACCTGGTAATCCAGGTTTCCCAGGTCCTCCCGGACCTCAAGGTCCTAAAGGCAACATCGGTCCTGTGGGAACTCCAGGTTTAGCTGGACTAAAAGGAGACCCTGGTTTAGATGGCCTTCCTGGCAATCCCGGTCCCCCCGGCCATGAGGGGCCACCTGGACTACCTGGTGACCCAGGCCTAGACGGCCCACCGGGTCCAATTGGCTCTCCTGGAGAGCCCGGACAGCCTGGCTGGGCAATACAGGGCGTAAAAGGAGACAGAGGAGAACCAGGCCCTGTAGGGGAACGAGGATTACCAGGGTACCCTGGTGCTAAGGGCGAACCTGGTCGGGACGGACGAGATGGTCCTGTAGGAGAGCCCGGACTACCTGGTCAAGGTTTGTAGCATTTCCTAGAAAAATAATTTTCTGGGGGTCTTTCATCGCACGATTGAGACAACATTGGGAAATGTTATCTCCTTATAGGGCTAAATTTACAATAAAACCGTTTCGTGTCTCGGAACTCGCTTGTTAGTTTTCATGATAAAGAGTGTACGATACAATCATCTTGTTAATAGGTAACATTCCGGGGCCTCCTGGAAGAGATGGTACGCCTGGACCTGTAGGAGAACCTGGTTCTCCTGGCCATCCGGGTCCTCCCGGTATTGACGGCTTAATGGGCGAGCCTGGCCAGCCTGGCTACCCCGGCGAGCCAGGACCGGTTGGACCCATCGGTGAACCTGGTCCCCCAGGATGGCAAGGAGACCCAGGCATTCCTGGTCTTCCTGGCTTTAAGGGCGATCAAGGACCGCCTGGACAGCCCGGTTTTCCAGGTAGAAGCGGTGAAAAAGGAGACAAGGGTGAACGAGGTTATCCAGGGCTTCCAGGACCGGCTGGATTCCAAGGTCAGTTAAGCCGAAGGTTCTGACTGAGAACTCTAGAATCACTAATTATGACTTTAAAACTCAATATTAGTGAGAATATGCTTACACAATCACTTAGTGTACACTAACCTAGATGCGACTTATCTGCCATCAAGGTATATTCATAATAGTATATTCTCTTATTTAATTTCTATTTATGGCTTTGAAAGAGGTGATATCAAAATCTTATCTTTTTACTAATCTGTACTCACTTCTAGACACATTGCAAGTATGAAAAGTTTCTTCCACCTGCTAATAAAAAATCCAATACACTGCCAATATACTGTATATTAGAGTAATCTCGGTCTCTGGCACAAGCTTTATACATATCTACACTGTGTCTACCTGTGGGAGCACGCATTAAGTAAGTACTATAACCTTAACGTAAAAGTTCGACAAACTTTTTATAACAGTCAGTACATGTCTACTTATTATAATGATGTACAATTGTTGTAACCTGCAATACTAGCAATCTTGTTAATACGTTTAACAGCAGGTCTAATAATTAACATTTATAGGACCAATGGGGCCAAAGGGTCAGTCAGCAATCGCAATCCCTGGTGAGGCTGTTCCTGGTCCAATGGGAGAACCCGGAGAACGCGGCCACCCTGGAATTCCAGGGGATCCCGGAATCCCAGGAGAACCCGGCTTGAAAGGGGAAAAGGGTGAACCAGCTCTTATTGGAATGCCTGGTCCTGCAGGCCCACCAGGAAGGGATGGCCTACAAGGACCACCTGGACCTCGTGGTCTTACCGGTTTGTACCTTTAAATGCATTTACGTCCTGTTTGGAAGTTACTGAACCAATTCTTATCGCTTTTCAGCATTTGCCTTATTGTCATGTCTTGGAATTTATGTAGGATGAATTGAAGGTGTTTACTGCATAGTTCGACTGACTTTTAAATAATTTACTATTATTCCCGCCTCATACTTGACTATACTATAGCCTAATACATGGATAAAGTCAGATAATAACGTTACACCTGTATTTCGATTTGTGGTTTACAGGACGCGACGGCCCTATGGGTAGGGAGGGCCCTGCAGGCCCACCAGGGGCGGCTACGTGGGATTTGGTTGAGGAGCAAGTTGGATCGTTGGTTGTTATCCACTCCCAGAGCATGGAGATACCAGTGTGCCCACTCCGCCTTAAAGAAATTTGGAACGGATATTCATTGCTTTATTTGGACGGTAAGACGGCACCAAGTATACTAGAAAGCCCCTAAAAGTAATGGAAGCTCACAGTGCACTAATTAATTGGAGTTCCTTACTGGGCCTCAAGAATATCTTAACGAGTAAATATGACGTTGTATCCCTTAGTTGCATAATGAACAAGAGCTTAATTGTTACTGTATTTATAGAAAAAAAGAAACATATACTTCCAAATGTTGTAAAAGCATGAAAAAATGTAAAAAATATGATTTATGCAGTGCATGGTCTTCTTTGACCACAAATTAGTATTAGATATTTTACACAGCTTCTTGCACACCGTTCTTAACCTCAGGGGTAGTATGTATAATATCCTTTAGGCAAATGTGCCTTCTTGGCATTGCTGTTTGTTTAACAAGACCCTAACAGGCTTATTGTTGCCCTCGCTGTGGTTTATTAATACAATTGTCAAGATATATGGATCGTAACAATAATTACGTAAACACATTAACACTAACAAAAGTAGGCTACCTAACTTAATCCTAGTTTTTCTTTTTACAAAAAATGGCTTGCAAGATCTTAATTAATCCGGTAATATATGCGCATTCTTGGTTAACCTTTTTTTCACTCTACATGCAGGAAATGGGCGGGCAGCTAATCAAGACCTTGGCAATCCAGGATCATGTATGCAGCGTTTTAGTACAATGCCTTTCGTGTTCTGTGAAAACACAGATACTTGTAACTATGCTGCACGTAACGATCGCTCGTATTGGTTGAGCACAATGCGTCCATTCTCTACGCGACCCGTTTTTGGCCGAGAAATTTCCGAGCACATCTCGCGATGCGCTGTTTGTGAAGTACCCAATTATACGCTCGCGGTGCACAGCCAATCACGTGAGATCCCTCAATGCCCGGCAGGCTACACTAATCTATGGCATGGTTATTCGTGGGCAATGCACACAGGTGCTGGAGCGCAGGGCGGTGGGCAACCACTTGCCTCGCCCGGTTCCTGCCTACAGCATTTCAGTCCCGTGCCGTTCGTCGAGTGCAATGGTGCCCGGGGATCATGCTCGCATTTCAGCAATAAGCTAGGCTTCTGGATGGCACAAATCGATCCTCAACGAATGTTTAACATGCCCACCACAAGCGTAAACGAAGAGAAGCACACACCTCTTCAGAATCTCGTATCTAGGTGTTCTGTGTGCATGAAGAATATTTAATTTCAGATATTCTTCGAGTATTTTTCATAGCAAAACGCGTCCATATGTACATCACTACGGCTATGTATCTATGAGACAATGCGGAAGTGCCAAATTAATTAGGGATATAAGGACAAAGCTCAACGAAAACGAAAGTTAGAATGGAATACACAGAAGGTATTGAAATGCTAGAAAAACGTGAGAAAGAGGAGAATATAAATTAACTTGATGCCGACAAAGTTAATCCTGGGATTTGCTCAGATTTGTTTATCAATATATGCAATTCAGTTTAGGTGATTTTTTACAGTTTTTTATCTTGTTTGTTTTATGTTGCCGTAACCTCTTCATATTTCGAGTTTTACGCCCGGCATCATCGTTACGCATTCCATCAGATGGTTGGCTTCCAGCATGAACTGAAGTGTATCTATGTCCGGGTTCGAACCTAGATGACAACGTAACCTCGATCGAGAAGAGAAAGGCGTACATCGAACAATATCAAAACCTTTACTGCCAAAAAAATGTAGTTATTGAGACAATGAAAATATGTATAGGTATTGTATATGAGATAAGCTGAGATAAATATAAAACACGTTCTTATAGAAGTCAAAAAGTAATTTCTAGTAGATATAGAAATGAGAATGTTGTTATGCAAATAAAATCATTAATTAATCAAGTTGCGTCATCTGTATGATATTGTTGCTAATCATGTTAATAGTAGTGCATTCTAAATAAGCTCCATACACATAAATTGCAAAGTACTTAACTGTAATTCCAATATATACTTGCGCACATTTTCTCTGTCGTTATATCATTAAACATTTTAAGGATCAATCTAACTTGCCTAAACAGGGAAACGTATTTAAGATACATATTGTTGGTAAGTTTATAAATATGAAAGAACGTCCCACTTGTGAAACTTTAGTTTTTATTACCATCACGATAAAATTGTATTGACACTTCCAAGGCCATTATAAACTGACCGATTGATTTCCAAACCCTATTATCAAATTGTAGTGGACGGGCTAAGTGTATTGGTCAACTAAAATAAGGAATCAGCTAGTCCTCATAAAATTTTGTTTAAAGGACTGTATGAACAGCAGCTTTGATAAGCGTGGCGATTTTAGCGGAAATCTGCGGGGCAGGTCTTTTAAATAAACCATTTCAAAATACATTGCTTGCAAATATTTACCGTGACCTGCAGTGTCCTATACTTAAAAATGTTCTCAGTGTTCAAAAATAGGGATACCGGTATTCGGAATGAGACTCCGAAGAGGATTTGAGAAAGAGAGTAGCCGTTTGAAAGTCATTAAGAGTGACTGGATAATATCGTATAATAAAAAAAGCTAAGATAATTTTTGCGTAAGCTTTTAGTTTTTACTAGCAAAGTACGTTTTCCTTATAGTTGAATAAAAATGGTAGTTTCTAACAATACCACATTGAGTGGTAACAACTGAGTCGTCTAACGAGCAATTTTGTCTACAGCCACCACCTTGATTTTGTCTATACAGGGTGTCTGATACATAGTATAAAAATTTGGGGAGGGCTGAAAAGTAAGTTGTTCAAATCAGTGATTTTTTGTCGAGAAGGTGCTACCTATACTAGAAAATTAGCAAGAAAAAAAATCTATAGAAAACTATTTTCGAATACGAAGAACTACTTTATATACCCTATTCTTTAAATAAGTCGAGATCGCAAAAATTAATATAAACATTTAATGGAAAAACTAAGCAAATTTGAGTAGAGGTTCGTGAGGAATAAGTTCATAAAATTATTTAATAAGCGGAGAAAACGCTGAATAAGTACATTAAATCCTCTAAGAAGTTAAACGTAGTTCTTAGAAGTTAAAAAAGAAGTTAAAGATAAAAACCTAGACGATAAATATGTTTCGTTTTATAGCAAGCATTCTAAAACTATTAATCGTGCAATAGCACCTAGTAACGAAAAAAAACACTTTGTGAGTAAGCCACTTTTAGAAGACTCACGAAAACAGTACGCAAATAACAAATCTACTCATGATGCAAAGCATTTTGCAGCGGAAAATAATTTACCTTAGGCTGATGGCTTCCTCTAGGATATACACCACTTCTATAATAAATATAATTTGGATTCCGCATTTATTGAATCGGTCTGTGAAGTCTGCTAAATCGAAGAACCAACAGAGATTCCAATCAAACTCCCAGCAGACCTGTGAACATGCGACAACATTTGGGTAGGTACTAAAAACATTACATTGAAAACTATATTAACACACATATGATGGGTAGAACATGATCACCTATAATCGTGTTCTTGAAAAATGAGGACACCATTATACTCAATGTGTACAAATCATATATATATATTTTTTCCTATTGATTCACTTACGTTATGGAATGACGTTGTGTCAGTTTACAAATTATATAACTTATTACTGTCGACTTCGACCGTCCACCAACGCTGAGTATTCTCGTTCATTAAGCCACCAGCTATATCTCTTAATCACCTTTTAATAGTTGAATAGTAGAGAGGTATAATAGACTGATGTGTGTTATATGGAAAATTCTTGCATGATATGTACAAAAACTTAGTAGTGATGGGTAGGCGACGGCCTAACATGCCTCGGCAAAGAAGTTGCAGGAAAATACAATCATATGCATATGCATACATGATTATTACATGGTAGATGTATTTGTATTGTATTATATTTGTGCTACTGAATTATTTTTTTTATTGCAATTATTATACATACGTTGTTACTTGAAGGCTCACTTTGAAATCATTATTTAGCAGTGTTATTCCTCGAGCACAAATTTGTACACCCGCACCCGTCACTGACTTTACATATGTAGCTCATATTTCTATATGTTGTTATTTTCGTACAACCATTTCAAGCATATCTACCAAACAAAACGCATCGTTGCTGTCAGTCCCAACTATTAGGGCTGTTCTGCCTGCCAATGTTATCACTATCTTTATCGATAAACAATAAAGGGATTCGTTGACGTGCCATACGAAAGCATTCTGCACTTCCATAATTTTTGTTAATTCAGCGTAATTTAACAAGCAACAGCTACTTAACATTTACCAGCATACTTTTAGTCTCTTTCTTTTTGTTTTTCCGTTATTCATATTCAGTCCCTATTGTGTTGTAAAGGTGCCTTGCTAATTGACAGACGAAGCAGACAAGAGTACCTTGTTAATTAACAAGCTTTACACGAAGTCAGATCAACACATGATCCGACAGCAGCAAGTTTTATCGTAGTGATTCTGTCATCTTTAATTTCATCAAGTCGTGCACCATCCATCGACACATTTTTCGTGTATATTATTATCACTTATAGGTGCATTGTATGAACAGTCCGTATTTGTCTTTGCTATCATTATTTATTGATCTATGGTTATTATCATAATAATAATTATTATTGTTATTAATACCATTGTAATTATCCTCCTCATTATATAGTACATTTTCACTAAAATTTTTTATTATCATCTTTATCAATACACAAACACACACACACACGCACACTAGCGATCGAAGCACATAAAAACACAAAACGAATTATTGGAAATTATGTTCAATACGAATGTTTGTAGGCGCCAGCGGAACATAATGCCCGACCATAATGGCAAAGCGGGATTCTACCAAACTTACCTATTGACTTCTTTGTGTTAATTAATGCACGGGTAATTCAAAAAGGCAAAGCCTACTTTGTTATCTTCACCGATTCTGTCGTCAATTAATTACTCTTTGTTTACAGGTGCAAAGGGCTATTGTGATAATATTGAGTATGGCTCATGCATTGCTAATGTTGGCAGCACCTGCATTGCCCCGTCTATCGTATTTGTAGTATCTTCATTTCCTGTAGTATAAACCAAAAATTCATCACGAAGTAGCTCCTTTGTCCAACCGTTGCATTTGTTGCATTTCACACAATGCATTGCACCGTATAGGTTGTATAGAAAGCTACAATAAAAGTAACCCGTATAAAAAATGGCCTCACTCCCACTAAAACCTCCATGAGCTTTAAGGAGCCGAAAAAGAACATTAACGTACTATGTAACAGTATCATACAAAAGGATCGAGCAGAGCTTCGCAAAATAATATAAAAGTCAGACAGTTAGGCAAATCGATATCTAGGCAAAAGCAAGGCAAGTTTAAATAAACATATTAGGTGTGCAGACTGTTTGATACCTGAACGAAAGTCATTTCGACTCTTAAGCTGACATAGGAACGAGCCCACGTCGCTCTCGTGTGCTATTTGATAGTCGCACTGATGTACAACTGTGCAAGGAGATTGTACACATACTAAACCTGAACCCATCTACAGTCTTAAGTCGACTGACTACCAGAGTGGAGTTCTCGCAAGAGTATATTGACTATCCCTTAATTGAGCGCTACGGAAGTTGCAAATGAACGCGTCAATGAAAAGTGACGCAGACGGATCGCATTATTATTATTATTATTATTATTATTATTATCACTACTACTATTACTATTAATTCCAGACATAGAAATGGAGAGAGCAAAAAATATACCGCTTTTGGAAATCCGTCTCTTTCAATTCCAGTATCACCAATATTGCTGTATCAATACCACCATGTGCGATGCTAAACCATTGCCCAACTGCAATACCTTAATGTATTTACATGTGAATTGTGATCAAGGGTATTCAGCAAGATCCCTGTGGCCGTGTCGGTGATAACAAAACTGACTCCAGCTCAAGCCAACAGACACACACACAAGAGAGAACGTACAACGCACATGTTCACGTCACCCATCGTCACTTATTCACGAGTTTCGCTCAGACGATACTTCTGCGTCCGTGCATTCTAGATATACTTCTTCATGGTCTCTTACCATTGTCATCATCCTTATAAAACAGGTATCATTTTCATTTGGCACTTGCACCCCCTATCTATTGTAAGTTATTTGCTTGCTATTTGACTTTTTTACATGCATTCCTATCTAATTCCGCTCAGCATGTGACACACCCGTAACGTAGTCACAGCTGAATATTAGAAAATGACCTGTGTAGTTACTAGAAGATTAATCTTATTGCTATCATTCTTCATGTTGCTTCCGTCGCCGTTTTTGCTAATGTTATGTAAAAGTGCTACCACTGCAGTTGCGAGGTAACATGAATGAAAGCAAGAGAAGGCCCTTATTCTTATTTTTATCGTTCAGTAATCAGGTACCCCGATATACATTCGTCAATAAATTCGACGAGCTCTGAAAACTCAATCACAACGTCCGAAAATTGTTGCCGTTACTGCTCACTGGTCGTGATCAGTCCTTTTGCGAATCAATCGCCAAAACCCACTTTTCTTTTTTTTGCTATTATATGATTTTTTCATTTATCTATTTGCAGTATGTTTGTATATGACAGCACTACAAATAGAATAATCATACAAGAAACACTATTAAAAAAATATAACTTCGATAAAAATGTTCACATCTTTGACTTTGCGAGTGTTCGAACTTTTGCCACTCTTCTTTTTTCTCGAGCATTTGAGCACCACCGGATAATGAGTTTAAATTGATGGCTTGTCACCAAGCAAGGTTAGTCTCTTCTAGTAAGCGATCTCGCTTTTAATCTTCGGGCATCACCGTTTGACTGGCCTTCGGTACACCTTATGATGAATAAGATATTCCTTCTGTCTACCCGCCTAAGATCTTCTAAATAGATTAACTCGAAAACGGAGATTCGTCGAGTTGATGCCGCCGTTTGTTAAGCGTTTATCCCTCACAAACTAGGCATCGACTCCATAGAGTCAAATGGTGGTAACGACGTGTCATCTCGTTCCGTCTCTCGCAGGGCCTTCTCGGTCATCTTGTCAATCTCGGCTATCAGTTGCTCTGTATCAAAATCAAGCGTTCGCAGGCCTTGGAACGCATTTGGCGATGCAAAATCTTCATCCCATTCTAATTCATTATCATTGTTCGAAAGCGACGAACGTCGAGAACGGTGTGATGCCATCGAGCTCAGACTCATCCTCTCGTGGCGCTCCGCTACGGCTGAGATCTGTCGTTGAACACTGCTGCCGGTGCTTACCTCGACCGGCTTCGTTGACGGCATACCTTCGACATAGGCGGCGATTTTTTAAAGAAGTAAACAAATGTGACAATAGTGAAAAACGACTATTATTAGATATTAAACATTGCTTCGACTAAGGCTTTCCGGCGTGTGACCTTCAGTGTGTAATCTTCCCGGCAAAGCAATGCAACCTTTTCCAAATGCCAATATACTAATTAATTGTTTACTTGAACTCCGCGAAATTCGTTTGTAATTTATGTGACCAAAAAAAAAAGGATTTCTAGTCGACAAGCTCGACAAGCACAGAAAGCTAAAACTGCAGTACTTAAAACTTAACTAACCTTCTTCGTTTTCCCATTCTAACTCTATGGAGGAATGGGAATCGGTATGGACTCTGCTTTTTGGTGTGAGGGCGCAAAGGTTGTTGTTGACAGAATCCCGCTCCACAGCGCACCCCGCTGCATCTAACACGAGCGACACTCCAGGTACGGTAATTCCACTGTCAGCTGGGACTGCCCAAACGTCCGGCGTCTCATGAGGCCACAATTCGCGGCCTTGGACGACGGGATTGTAAAGTTCACCTGAAATGTTCGTCAATGTCTACTTGAACGACTTACAGCTTCTTGTCATATCTAATTCCTGTATGAAACTTATCGACTAATGTTAAGTGAAACAGTAAATTGCAGAATCACTAATACATACGTTCGATCAGATCATCTTGACCGAGATTAGAATACGGATTAGCTGATCGTAAAGAAAATTTAGGTCTTCGTTTAAGCCACTTTGGTATAAATCGCGATCCGCGAGGCTGCAAATAAATAAAACACGCTCCAGTCATTTACAACGAACTTATCTAATTTAAGAAAGTGTCGTTTTGTACATAATGTGCTTTCATTGATGTAAAAAGTACCGGATATTTAAGATATTTTTTTAAACTTGGTGTTTCATACCTAATATATAGCTAAAAATCGAAAAGCACAGGACTTCGACCCTTGTTCGTTTTCAGTGACGACAGCCACTTCTCCTCGATAGTATAGGTTAATTCCGCTCAGAAGTTATCTGGAACTGTTCAAGATAGTGCATTACAAATATTTGATGATCGACGTAAAATAAACAGTGATATGTAGTCAACGTTCTACAACTGGCAGCTGTATTCAACTACTGTTGATAGCAGTAGCAAAACTTTCTACAAACATTCCACTATAATACTCATTCGAACAGCGGGGGACCAATTCGCTAGTATTGAACATACCTAGATCACTTACCTCGTTCACAACCAGATTAAGCTGCAGCATGCAAGCAGACATTTCGGATATGTTATTATGATCCTACTATGTTACAACGCATAGATGCCACATGATTTGTGTTCGTAGAGAAAGCTATATATTTATTATATTACTATCTTTCATTTCAATAATAAGATGGGATGGGAACAGTTCGTACTACTGAGGAGTTGACCGCAAAACTTTCTAAAACACGTTCAGACAACTATCGTCCACACTAATCTAAAACATTTTTATCAAAAGGTCCACATAGTCTCAGAATACGCCGATACTACTCGCCTTTATGGAGTTGAGCTCGATCTGTTAGAAACCTAATGCTAGCGAACCGAGTTCTTCTCCATTAGATCCACTAGTAATATGCGTATTATTAATATAATAATAATAATAATAATGCGAGACGAGACGTATATTATAGTGTTTTTGTTTGGGGGCGCCTTGCAATACACACCGATGAAAGGCAAATAGTAATCATATAAAAACTAAATATAATAGACAAAGAACAGTTCATAAGAAAAAGCAGAAGACATTAACATTTAATATTTATTGGACACATACGTGTGATTCCATAATTATTAAATGTTCGTTCTATAGCGAAAAAAATAAGAAACATGTATTTATGAAACAATAATAATAATAAAAGTTTACTTTAAATATACCTCGGCAAGTGATGTGGCATCGTAGGACGAGTCAACGTCGTTCATTCTAAAATCAAAAACACAAAAGAAACATCCTTTTTATCATTATTATTTATTAAACTACGTATTCAACTTATAAATATTTGTTAAGCACTATTTATGCACTATATTATACAGTATACAGATATCCTACAACAACCTTCGTCTATCGCAAGTCGGGTAAGATTGTCAGTGTCATTGAACAGTCCACCTACGTACTTAACGGCGGGTACGTACTTAATCCGTCATGAGGAGAACCACCAGCTTCTGCGTCTTGCCCACTTTTAAGATGTTCTGCGTTATTTCGTTCATAGCCCAGTCCTCAGTAGAAAATATAAAATTTCAATTTACGCCCTGTACCAACGGTTAACACATAGACTACGCACGTCGAATATCTTCTTAACAGAGTTTATTTCTTAACAGTATTCGTAACCATCATTTATCATTTTGTCAGCATAGAGCTGGATAAATTATACTGCTAATGCCATAAAATTCATGTGCGGAAGAACAAAGTGATGTCATTTTGCAGCAAAAATGTTATTAAAGCTCTAAAAAAAATTGCAGTATCTCAACAGGTTTCTTTCTATCTCCATTGAGTCTTTCATAACCGACATCGACGGCTAGCAGAAAAATGCCTTAAGTTTACTGATAGTGATGGGTCTACTGGATAGTTTTGTTGTCTGTATACTGTACAAGAGTCAATAAATTTAGGCGATACAAATTGTGTTGGGAAGTGTGTTAGCATTTTTTAATTTTTCTTTAAATAGAAATAGCTACTTAAATACGTGTATAATTATTAGTATAATTTCAGCACATGACTCAACATTCAAAAACGGTATTATAAGGAAATCGTAAATTGTGAAAAATCTATTACAGCGCCAAAAAATAGATGGCAGTGATGCAAGCAATCGCAGATATTTCTGCACCATATTTTTGTTTAGCTTATCTATTCAGCACGTCTGATTAAAAACTCTATAATATAGAAAAATAAAATATCGGCATTTTAAAAATAGGAATCTCAAAAGAAAACCCATTTCACAAAACTAATTTGCAGTTCCAATGTCTACTCTGTTTCACACCTTTTCCGTTTTCTACAGATTAGAATTGAAGGATCTAGCATCCATCTAGCTAGCTGTTCACGTGTCGTCGGTACGGCTCTGTCGTATCTTGATTAGAAAAATTAAATAATACATATTAGTTCGTCTGGGGGAATTTGATATTTGTTTAATTTCTTTGGTTAGCTTATATCTGAAATGTATACCACTGGCCAATTCATTGTACCATTAAATGATACAATTTGAATGTCGAACGGAAGCTATAAAAAATGAAAGAAATCCATAAGACAGGCATCGTAAATCAACGAATAATAGCTCAAGAAACTTATAAAAATGAGTAATTAATAAATTATAACGATCCGAATATTCTAGGTGCTGGAAATTTGGCTGATACATTGAACAACATCAAATTACTGGCGAAAAATATGGAAAGCTTAGTTCGTTCCGTAAGAAATTAAATATTTATTGTAGGTTTAAATTGCTATCCGTTTGTCTCAATACAGTTTTCTATGCCTCACAGCAAAAGACCTTAAAATCATTATTGACGATTTCCAATTTGCTGTGGAAACTTAAGACTGCTATTACAGTGCAGTTCCGAAGCCATACACAACCTAAACTTTAATTATAAAACTACTTTATTAAAATTCAAATATATTTTATAACACATCAAGAAAGCAGCACCTGAGCTGTTCGAATAAACAGCACTTTATGAACTTCGCTTTATCGTCATTATAATAAAATGAAAATTTCATTTATATATCATTTTGCTAAGTAAAAGCTGTGATAAGGTACTGTTTATAAGAACAGCCTTTATAAGCATTATATTTAATAAAAATATCAGTAAAATTGCAATATGGGTATTTCGTGTGTGTATGTTACAGGAGATTTATCGTCTTCTGGTGTCCCGACCCGTTTCACGGCTGTGTTATATATATATATATATATATATACTTGGACTCTTTGGAAACATAGCTGGTGCGCGCTCTGAAGGTAACACCGTCGCTCAAACCCCTATTACCCCACAGAGTAAAAAACTAACAGTAGTCACAACGACAATGACGACAAAAGACTACTAACAAATAAATAGATGAAGAAGTTATGAAACTAAAAACAGTTTGTTGTTGTTATGGTTGCTCTTTTTACCGTTGGTGAGTTCTCCGTCCTAGACATCCACCCATCGTGAGAACAGTAGAACAATTGCATTCACTATGCACACGGGTAATCAACTACTGAATGAATGATGCCAATGTCATTTTGCTATTTGATTGCCACAAAACTTGCAAACTTTCCCTATACATAAAGAACATGAAAAACGATATTGATCGTTTTGAAAGGGTCTTCGTTGCGATGACCATCAGCCGTGCTAGCAGTAGAGGCGCACGTAGCTAAATAACAACTTCGTCTGTAGTCCCGCTGTTTAGCGAGCAGTGACTGTTGTTCATACAGAGGAACAGGCAAAACGGAGTGGCTGGCTGACCAAAACAACAATATATAGATGGAGAGCTGCAGTTCTCCATCAAAAAGCAAAATTACCAGCTGGTGACTAGATGCAACACGCGCGAGACATGAGCAGCCCGCCAAATTTAACGAACACGATTGGTGGTGAGTATCGTAAAAATACAGTTATTTGTTCCAAATTCAGTTTCCTTTAAGCGTTAAGGCACAATATCGGTGTAGCGATCGTAGTGCGACATTAATCGGTTAAGCATTCTAAGCTAAGCGAATACAAATCCGTTTTGCCAATTTTTGGTTTCCTAGAATACATGCTTTTCGGCAGATAGAATACTACATTGGCTTTGAAGTACTATTTCTATAAAATCATATTAATGTAAACTACACACGCTTTTACGCTATACCGCGGCCGTACTTAAAATTTAATTTGTATATTACAGTTTGTAAAAAAAAATATGCCATTTCGTCTATAGTATTGTGCTCTCATTAATTCAGACTAACATGATGTTTATAATTATTCTTTTATATTAATAACTTCGAAGAGTTCATATAAGAAAATCTACTTTGATTAGTGTTGTTATAGGAACCACAGACATCGATGACAAGTTGAGGATCTCCCTCTTGGATAACAGAAAAATACTCAATAATTAGGCATGAAAGGATCGACGTTACTAGTACAATATCAAAGTAATAGTAGTACAAAAATGCTAATTCTAACCTGTCGAATTGTATTTACATACTTTGAACACAGAGTAAAATTATTAAACACACTAAATTAGACCAACAAAGTTATATTCACTTATCCATTTATTCAAAAGTTCAAAGTTTGTGGCGCGTAGACTTCGTGTACTAGGTGACAAATATACAAAGCAGTCAAATGGAAGGTGAGGTAGACGAGGTAAACATAGCAAGGATTCAAAAAATGGTATCGAACAGTGTTTTTGCGGTAACATCCCGCTAACCGTCCGCATGCTTAGTAAAGCGGCATCTAGTCATTAGATGCCGCTTTATTGCGACGGAGAATGATGAACCTATGACTTCAGCTTGAAGTCATTTGTTTTTGATCAGTCGATTCTATCGAAGGTCACATTACTAACAACCTGCGCATTTTCTGAAGAACTGAGTAATAATAATGTCATGACTGACAATGGTCTTGTGACAAAAATTACCTGACGCATAACTGGCTTTGCCTACTACATCGCTCTGCATTAGACTTTGCCAACTTCCTCTATTTGTTAGATTGCAAGATCTTTGTCCATTGTCGAAGATAATCTTTAGATTTGGTTTTTTGTGAGCTGGTTTCGTTTCCAGTTGTTTCTTTAATGGGCATTCCCATTTTGCGTCGTTTCACATTACTTCCGTTGTAATTTTAACCGATATATCACACAAGCGAAATAAACGCCGAATGAGAACCTTGGGTTGCCTCACAGTAGAATCGAACGTTTTTCAACTGGAGAAATTTCTGAGTCGCGAAAAATGATTTTTGCTTCTTGTCACAATGAGCTGGAATCATTTATATTTTTTCGCTAGATTAATATTGGAGTACTTATTGATATGATTTTCCTTCCTCATTCCATTGAATTCAAATCAATTTCAGAAAACGCCGAAGAAATAGAAGCACGTTTTTACATATAATATGAATTATTAGTATTACAAGCAATACACAAAGAAAAGTACTAATCTTATTTTTTTTTCTTGTTTTCTCTTGTGCCAGCAAGTGTTTTTTTCATATTATATCTAAACTAGAAATCAAGTATATAAAAGACTGGTTCGCTTACAAAGACCAATATGAATGTGTAGAATATATTATGAGACTTTTTTTTATGAGTGCATCCTCGCTGTTGAAATACCTTTAAATAACTCACTCTTTTACTGTCTCTTTATTAAAAAACGTGCTGACATCGCTACACGCGATTAGTGTGTCCTACATACCTATAATTTTATGTCAGGAAGACCTTTCGTAGTGACAAGAAAGCTTTTTGTTAACAACAAGGCTTTTAAAAACCTAAATATCAAAGTTGAATATACGTTCTGTGCATTGTTGCTTATCAATCGTACATTTTCATGTAAGCAGAGATTTGCGCAGTTACTTGGTATTAATTATTTTTTACAGTCCCTCAGTGTTGACAGTTAAATACACATTTGCGATCGTTAGGGGTAATTCTCGGTAAATCTCGGGTAAATGATCTAGATAGATCACGCACTGGACGATGATTTCTCGCGTGACAGTTTAGTGCACGTATATTTTTTCCCTTAACTGTTATTAGAATGAGAGCAAATGCAACACAATATAATCGAAAGCATCGTACGGTTTTATTTTCATTAATAGGTCTTCTGTATTTGATGCATAACGTTGATAACAAATGAACTTTGCTAGATCCTGTTCCAGCAAGCACTTACAGCAAACATATAAACAATCTAAGATTGATAAGGTGGGTAAAACAAACCGCTCAACGTTTTTAACGTTAACAAATGTGGAACACAGCGGGCAAGTCCAATTAAGGGGGAATCGGAATAACCGCGATCTGAGACTGATTATTTAAGACTTTTGGATCGTTAAGAGTCTATGTTGTTAAGCAATTGTAAGCCTTAGAAGATTGAGTTGCAGGCAATTAAATGTAATTTAATTTTATTAGAGTAATCAGCATTTAATAAAGGGTCGGCTACTATTTACAACTGAATGTTGTATGTTTAGTTTGGCAATAAATGCGTTTAATCACTTTTTAGTCTAATAGTCAAGGTAACGGAGCATATTTCGTTTCAATCAAAAATCGAACTGTCAGTCGGGGAATCGAGCCCCGGTCTCCCGCCTGGCAGGCGGGGAAACTAACCGCTATACTAACGACGAATCCTGCCAGTACCACCAGATATAGCAGTAAGATTTAGAAACTTGTAGTTTTTTTTACAATTTCCGCGAACAGGTATAAACGTTTTCTTTTATCACACGTTGTCCTATTAATGCTCAGTTTTAGTCTCTTTAAGGAATCGAGTTTGTCCGATATAAGTAGCATATAAAATCTGGTATTCAAGGTACTACTGTTCAATGGTCCAATAGTTCTCAGTAACCTTTTCGGTTGGCCCTCTCCTATCCCATGTGCACCCTTCTAAAGTCGCTGTGTCGGTGCAGCTTAGTGTGTTAGTATAAACAAAAATTCGTTTCTAGACACTTGGCGCACGTGTTGGCGAATTCCACAAGAAAAGTGCATGTTGAAGACTGGATTAAAAAGCAAAACAATTTTGCGCTGCTTATATCAACGAAGTGTTGTGTGGTGCGGTTTGCCATATATAAGTTAAAGTTGATTACTAGTGGATTTGAAGGACTTGGTAGGCATTGCAAAGTCAAATGGGGATTCAAAAGAAAAAGGTAATGAAATCAAAGGATGCAACAATTTTGTGCTCAACTATAAGAGATGGGTCAGTAGAGGTTGGATGAAGGCTCTAACAGTTCTAATTAAATATCCGTTTATGTTCTATAAGATGAAGTGGGATTTTATAGGTTCCGACTGACATACTTGAACATGTTTTTTAATTTAAAAAGCTAACAGATATGTTTTGTCCAAGATATAATGTGCTCTTTTGCGAATATATTACAATTATTCGGGATTTTGCAAGAATACCATCGTTCATTAAGGCATTTAATGAGAATGTTTATAATAATCGCGTGTTGAAAGCGACCTCCTATGCGTTGTAAAATTCAGGAGACAGAGATATGCTTTATTTGAAAATTTCAGGCCTTGGCATATTTTTAATGTTACGCGTTTTATACTTATATTAAATAAATTCGAATTATTTTAACCTCGAGTATTTTGAAGTTCTGGGTTCTATGTAAGCAAATGTACAGTAAAATTCGGTATTTAAACCTCATGTATTTTTCTTTTCATAACAGGGAACATCAGGGGCTGCGACAACCTTTGTTTCACGAGGAAAGGCAATCAAAAAGCTCCAGCTTTCTCTCAAAGACTTCAGGTAATATTGATATTTCAAAAAAATCATATATTCATAAAATGACCTATTATGTGACTGATAGATCAGATAGCATATACAACTCTTACTAAATATTAAATAAAAGCAGCAAAATTAATTGGTAAAAAATGTGTTCTTTGCCTATGTTAAATGTAAATTCGATGTTTTTTTCTGTACCGCAGGCGGCTATGTATTCTCAAGGGAATTTATCCAGTAGAGCCGAAGAACAAGACAAAAGCTGGAGGACCTACCAAGACATACTACCTCGCCAAAGTTAGTATTCCTAATATTTTTGTCCATGCTAGATGATACATATAGCAATTGCAGACGAAAGCAGTTATTTTAGTTACCTATCAATTTCGACATCTTATCTATTATTCGACCTCGTTAGCAAAAGCTCTACCAGAGCGATCTATATGTATATATATAAATTAGGGTCAACTAGCACCTTTCTAAACTTAGTAAGAATTTTCTCAACACAACGCTGAGAAAGCCGATCTGTTATGGGCGTGCTATTATATTTATGCTCATCCGCAACTTTAATTGATATCAATAATTTAACAAGTTTTTCAAATGTGTGAAACCTCAACTAAGAAACGAAATAAATGTCGTCCTTAAAGATAGCGTTCTATTCACTTCAAGAGGTACAACAATCTAACAGATTTAAAAATTTTCACATCTTTTAGGACATACGATTTTTGGCCCATGAACCCATCATAAGTAAATTTCGGGAGATGAAAATCTTTGCCAAGAAACTGCGAAAAGCTATAGATAAAAGGGACGCTGAGAGAGAACGAACTATCCGAAACAATGAACCCACATACCGACTCGATCATATCGTCAAGGAAAGGTAATCCCAGTAGAGCACTGCGACATTGAAGTACAAGTGAAAGATTATGTCTATCCGACGTATTAATGTAGACAAAGCATGAAAAAAAACAGGGGCAGAATCATATGTGCATTATACTAACGCATATTCTGCGTCGGTGACTGTCATTAGATACCCAACGTTTCTGGACGCGATTCGCGATTTGGACGACGCCCTATCAATGTGCTTTTTGTTTGCTACATTGCCCAAGTCGGGTTTGTACAAAAGTGAATTACTGCAACTTTGCCGGAAATTGACTGTCGAGTTTATGAATTATGTGATTGAATCCCGATCACTTGTAAAGTGCTTTATTTCTATCAAGGGTTTCTACTATCAGTGCCTGATACAGGGTACGCCCGTCACGTGGGTTATACCTCACAGTTTTCCTCAACGCGGCGATGAAGTCGATGCAAGAATAATGTCAACGTTTACAGACTTTTACGTAACGATGCTGGGCTTTGTGAATTTCAAGCTATATAATTCGATAAATCTTGTATATCCACCCCAGCTCGCCGTTGACAAAATATCCAAGCTGGATAAGGAACTTTGTGAAGGAGAGGATCCGAAAAATGACGTAAGTTTTTCCAGCCATTGATTTAAGTTAATTTTATATACTAGTTGGAAGATCAACCAACATACAACTGTCTTGTTTAGCTAAATTATTTACTGCACTTCGATTTTACAATGCCTCAGTTAATGAATTATTACTGCGCAATGATAACATTACATAGACGATGACCACCGATAACATTCGAGTCTCTGTTTCAGTATCTTGAAGCTCTGACTACCTGTCTCAAAGCTGTAGTAACGGATGCGGATGAGGAAACAAAGATGGACAACTTTGACGATGTAAGGAATAACCATCTATTTTCTTTGACTTGAGTTTTTTCATTACTAATTGTACTTGTTTGTATAGATACAAAATTATGTCCAGCATTGATAATTTGATGCTCATAGATAATTCATAGACTTCCACAGAGTGGTCAGTATATTGATCGCTGCCAGTAAATAAATATTTAGTATCTAGCAGGCAAATGGACTGTTACAAATCCTTCTTACAACAAAATACTGGATGAGTTAGTTTTAGAAAATAAGTAAATCAATATGCATGATACGAAATTTAACAGTGCGGCAATTCTCGTACATTGTTTAGGCGGACGCCAAATGTGTTCAGGATAGTGCTGTAGCGGATCAGCATTTTCGAGACCTGTTTTCGGGGCTTAAGGTTTTTCTCAATCGAGAAGTTCCTCGGGAGCCCTTCACATTCGTACTTAGATCTCTAGGCGCGCAGGTTTCGTGGGATGTTTACACCTTCCCTGGCGCCTCATTTGACGAGAAGGACACGTCTGTAACACATCAGATCGTTGACAGGCCACTTGTTGCGAATAGAGTTCTCAACAGGTACGTTCAGTATTCTTTTATGCTAGGGCCATAATTTGCTTATGGGAACATTTATTTACGAAATAATTCTTTATGAGAGTTCGATTATTTCGTAAACGACTATGTTGAAGTCGGGTAATTATTATAATAACAGAATTTTAAACGACTTTTCCGTTTGTTTAATTTGCATGCATCTGCAGGTACTATATCCAACCGCAGTGGGTATTTGATTGTGTCAACGCGCGGCGTTTGCTCCCTGTCGAAAATTATTTTCCTGGAGTCGAATTGCCGGCGCATTTGTCGCCTTTCGTCGAACGAAAGGAGGGCACGTATGAGCCGCTAAGCAAAGAGGAGATGCAAAAGAAAGTGGAGGAGTTTGAACAGCAAGTGCGAAAGGAACAAAAATATGAAGATGAGAAAGACAGTGAAGATATGGATGCTGAAGAGAACTTGTCATGTCTTGAGGTCACCAAGAAGGAAAACAGCACTAGCGTCAAAAAGCAAAAGGGTTTAAAAGCTACACAAGGTGATGGTGACCTGAAAGTGAAAAGAGGAAAGGTACGCTATCAAGAGTTACCTGTCCTACTCCGTTTTAGCTTTGGCTACCACACAAGCGGTTTTGAAATTTTTGGAGCCTGGAAACAGCACTAATTAAAGCTTTTCAAAAAAGCATAAGTCGCTATTTTGAATCTCACCAATGGCTCATAAAAAGTACATTTGTGCGAAAAACGCTCTCTTATTAAGGATACATTTACTCAAATTACCCGTACAATACGTGACTGTTTATATAGCAAAATACCGGAATCAAGATAGATAACGTGTAGTACGCCATTTAGGAGCAGAATTCATTGCATGTAATAGATTTAATCACCTTATCGAAGAAAATATGCTAAATGATTTCAATATTGGTGTGACGACTTAACAAATGTACATGTCTCTACGTACTAGTTCGTGTACCAAAGGAAAATCCGTTATATTTTTCAGTCAGTAACCTAAGCAAAAGTTTGTTTTTGTAATGCAGTATGTCAAGGTCGATACGGATCGCGAACAGGCACGGTTAAAAGCAGAAGAACGCCGTTTAGCGGTGATGATGATACCGAAAAAGAACAAGCGGCTCTTCGACCAGATTCAGAAAAAAAAACGAATCGAAAGACACGAGGTGAAGAAACTTGAGGACAAACGAGAGAAAATTATCCAGGCCAAGGCGGCTTTCAAGGCCAAGGCGATTTCGAAACCGAATCTGCAATAAAGTGCCGGCAGACATCCAGGGAGCGGACCGTGTATGCCTATTATCATTGTTATTAACGAAGGTAAACAATAAATTTACAACACATACGTACAATCATTATTTTAGCACATATTTATTAGGCTAAAATTGTATGTACATAAGACGTATTTTACGAAGTATTAATTTTTTATACGTTCATTTAGATTTTCATACACAGCTTGTATGTGTAAAGTACAATGCTCCTGATTGCTGCATCGAATCAGCGGTCAGGGACAATATCCAACGCAATGTGCTGACAGAAGTAAAGCCTTCTGTACAGTTTGTCTTGCTAGGACTTGTATTTTCGTAGCCTGCAAACCAAAAAAGTTAGAACAATTGTTACTTCTTACGGGTAGATCGCAACTCTTTCTTCTCACATTCGTATGCCTTTCGAATCCCGAAAGTACCTATTTTTGTGTGAGATATACTGGCGCATCCTCTAGTTAAATGCAAATTATTTTCCACCGCTAATAGGTTTTCCGGGGCCATAACATACCGGCGGCATAATTCTTGTAAGCCTAGGAGGTGGTCTACACAGGGAAAATTACCATAATGGATTATGCTTACGTCAACGACTTTATACGTACTTTTCGCGCAATCGTTCATTAAATTGTTCATCAAGTCTAACTTCCTCATCACTATCACTCTCGTCTGTGTTACTGTCATTACTCCCGTCACTCGACGACCCTTGATCACTTGAATCTGTCTCACGTTCACGGCGTCGTCGCTTACGACTGGTACCTTTTGACGATGCCAGAGATTTCTTCTTGAATTTCTTCGATTTTTTCGAAACTTTCTTTTTTGTTTTCTTTTTCTTTTCTTTTTTGATTTTCTTTACACCTTTCCTCCGTTTTTCGCCTCTGGAGGAATCGCTTCGATGGTGATGGTGGCGTTTGGAGTCTGCATTGATAGGTGTTGTTCGTTCTAAGCGAATCACTGGAGGAGGCTTTGGTCCCATAGGTATAAGGGATAATTCTTCGTCGTCCGTTTGATGACTAGGTTGTACCACTGGGTGTATCGGCTTAGGTGGAGGACGTTTGTTAAGCAAGGTTAAATCCAGATCGGCAAACAAACCGGAGTTTTTCTTTGTAAGGGCACTATCTCTTGTGGCTAACTTTGATGAGGTGTCATTTGTTTCATCACTATTATTTCTGGAAGAGCTCTGATGCATGCTTGTACTTGGCATCAATGTAGTGGTATCCTTCTTTCCAATTGCCGCATTTCCGTTTTCTCGATCTTTATTCTGATTTTCAGCGTCATCATCTTCGTCATCTGAAAAGATAAATTTAAAGAGATCTGCCGGTGGTGGTGTCTTAGCTTCTTCTTCGTCGATGAGATCATCAAAGCGTTTTACCGAGAACGAGCCCAGAACAGCCGAAGATATTGGTTTGGGGGGCAAAGCTTTTCGTTTTTCGGTGTTGACAGAGGTAGACGTAGACGGTTCCTGAGCGTCTATTTCCGCACTTTTAGCAAGTGACGCCAATGCTTCACCTCGTGACGATCTGAATATAATGATAATAATAAAATGTATATTGTTATATTGGACCATAAAAGATAAATGTCTATTATTTAATCGATCTTGATACATTACTGTAGTCAATTAGAAAAGAAAGCTTACGTGGCTGTTAATGGGATTGTGATAGTTTCATCTCCCATATAAGGATTCGGTACGTTGAAGCGTTTACACAAAAGCGCATTTGGATGCCACTTAACCTGGCCATGGGTAGCTTCGCCGAAATCTTTTAAAGGTCGAATAGATTGCTGCTGTTGAAATGACGTTGAAATCGCGCTCTAAAAATTAAATAAATAGAGAATAAGGAAAGCTAAATAAGCGATTTCTAGGACGAATCGGCTTGTTTAGCAATTTTTGGATGAACAACTTTAAGTTTGTGTCAGCTTCTAAGACAGATAATATCATTGTGTTAATTTTATTGTAATCTATTGAGAAAACCTTTTTTTAATTCAAGTCAGCTTTCCTCTTGAGGCGAACAAAGAAGAGATATAGATATATTTCTGCGCTAAATAATTGAAATAGGTTGAGGTAGAGTAAAAATGAAATAGAAAAAGGAACGGACAGACTGCGTGCATGTGTTTATCGAACCTGAATGGCTGCTACATCTTTCGATACTTGGAGTCCTGTTAGAAGTCCATCCTCAGCGGGGTGCATCACCTTCTTTTCAAATCGATTACTTAAGCCCAATCGGGGCCTTATTAGCTGGAGAGCAGATTCAAACTCTTTCTTTTCAAGAGCTGCCTGCGACTGTGACATAGTCGATAGTTGGATGGACGGTAACATTTCTGCTTGAAGTGAGAAGGGAATCAACTAAGCATCTTAGTAATATATTTGAATCTAAGAAAAAGGTCCCACTTGGTTTATAGCACATAGTACAAACGATGAAATAGATGACATTTTGCCCTGCTTATTCACCTAAAAAAAAGATTTATTTTACGCGTCTCAATAAGAATTTAACAATATTGTATGTTTAAATATATGGTGCAGACCTTTAAATAATTGGTCTAGCTTATCATAGGGATTACAAAGTAATTGTTTATACACTATTATCGACATTTTCACGGAAATACCAGTACACTGAGCCAATAAATGTGCTGAAACTACCTCGATGTCCTAGCTCGACAAACCGAATGTATAGATCGAACCGCTTCTGCTTGGCCGGATCTGATGCAAATGGTTTTAAGGACTCAATGTTGACTTTTGAAAGCGAGCCTTGTTCTTCCTCTTGCAAATCCTTAAATGGTGTTTTCGTATCATTGTCATCGTCAATATCTTCATCCTGTACAGCAGGCGGAACTACTAATCTTGCAGCTTCCATGGAGTCTGCTTTATCCGAATGTAGTGCTAAATTTCGTTCATCGATTGCCTTCTTAGAGGCCTCAATCCGAAGTTTGTCCTCCGCTGATATTAAATTAAAGACGGACCCTAACGTATCATTAGAATCCCTCAGTTAGAACATATTGAAATCTCTAGTTCTTACAATTAGGTGAACGATAAGCTACAAGGCTCGAAAAATGTTTCGAAATGCACATGACTTGTCTCACTGATACTGGTGCAGACTGTGAGTAATGTTTGGAAAAATAAGTAATGTTCATACACCGAAGATACGATGAACTGTTTTGTGAACGGTAAGAAACTAAAAAGAAAGCTGACCTTCGATTTTATCAGAGATGAGCGCGACTTTGTCATCGCGAGACATCTCTATACTAGACCCCATTAGTTGATTAGAAAGATCGTTCTTCATAATCTTCGCGGCAACAGCCAACATTGTTGTCCTTGGCGTCCATCCCGGAGGAATCTCGACATTATCTCGGTAGACTTGGTTGGCACTTCCACCGACTTCTGGGACTGTAGCTATCACAAATCCATCAATCACTCCTCCTTTTGTTTGGAAAGAAGTAAAAATAATTGGGTTAGCCGAAATATCTCTGTCATAACCTTCTCAATAGTTTTATGTTTCGCCCTTCACTCAATTAACCTTTCTCATAGAAAATATGCCGATTTAAGAAACACAGTTTTGATTATTTCATACTGTTGTCTTCAGCTGCTCCTTACCTATCATTGCAGATTCATTTCGTCGGGATAACTCTCCTTTTATTGGGGTCCGATGGTCCACCTCTTCAAAATCATATTGAGTCATATCGTCCCGTGCATAAATATCCTCATCGTCTTCTTCAAACGCTCCAACGCCAAAGGCTTGACCTCGCATAACGACTCGGCGTCCCTCTGATAAACGAAATAACAGTAATTTGACTTTACCTAAACTACGGCATAATGTGAAGATCGAAAAAACAAGCAACAATATGTAAAAAATAAAAACTAAACTAAATACGATCTGAGCTTTCTGACTGGCCTCTCGAACTAGATCATCAGAGCCTGAAAACTTCTGACCTAACTTATTCATTTGCGATTATATACGTACCAACAGTAGCTGTCGACATAGTCACTCTCTCTCGATCGATCCGCTCGCCAAATAAATTCAACCTCTGCGTTGGTGAATAGCCCAAACCCCAAACATTGTTTTTTCCTCCACCTATTGCGCATAAAACCTGAAAGATATCATCTGCCCTTTCCTCCGGACCAATTTCTACAGTCTCGGAAACATTCTGAAATCGTAAGATATACTTAGCTTTAAGCTGCAAATTTTTTTGATGTTTGTCTTCTAAAAAGCATTATAAGTTTTACGCCAAATAACTATGAGCACAGTTACTTTGAGCCAGGTATGTGTTGTTGTATCGAAGGGTCAGAGACTTAGAATTCTATGTACGTTCAATATACGATGAGACGAAGACTATGTACCTCAGGCAACTGTGGTCCGTAGGTGGCTTTTAGACTAACTGTGGGCCCTAAGCCTCGACCTGGTCGCCAACCCATATTCCGTAGAATTTGGATGCCAACACTTTCACTGCAAAATAAAATTTAAATATACGCCCATTTGAGCAGATATATATATATATATATATATATATATATATATATATATCTGCCCAAATGTGTATAGCTGTATCACACGTACGTACGACTGACCTATAGCAAAAGCATTGTCTCATTTTGTGCCCTGACCTCAATAGGCTAACTCCAAATTGTCCATGGTTAGTCTAGGTTCACCATACATTTCATGTGATAACGTTGAGTAAAAGAACAAGATTTTTTTACTCTGCATGTCTATTGTTTAATTGAATGTGTTAACTAATTTAATGTCGAAAAAATTTGCATAGTATCTTACGTGTCTGTGGTGAGGATCCTGATAAGCGGAGCCTGCAACAATTCCCTCTGCGAGCCCACGCCTGCTGTTTGTGAGTACATTCCACTGGATGAAGCAATCGAATCCTGTCCGTCCTGAGTACGAACGCCTTCACGCAACTGCACACGTTGTGGAGCTATCCCCATTTCACCAAAGTCCTAGAACGAAGCACGAGATAAGAAAACGTTAAAAAAGAATAGCTTCTTCTTATAAAGATTTCTTTAAAAGAGCGATTTCTTTAAGAGCTTGTTAATGAGACTGCAACGTGCAAAGAAGATCTAGCGTACCATGCGAATCTCAAGTTTTGCTGTCATTTTTTAAGTGTCCTTCTTCAAAGAAAAATATAAAAATTAGTGATAGTTCCCTATGTATCACCCGACTGTCAATCAAATATGTTGTTATAACTTCACTGGCTGTATTTTCTACATTGCACAATTTGGGTCACACAACTGTATGTGGACCGGGCTATATTTCCGCTGGAACGAATCATCCCAACCTACCTCATTATCCATAAAGTCTTCAGGATGTTGGCCACCAGTATTATTAGCCCGTTTAGACCTTGACGAAACGAAATTCTGAGGTGTCCAACCCTCCTTTGTTCCAACAGAGTTAAAATATCCAGCACTAAAACCTCCCGTAAACGCTCCGTGAAACCTTCGTCTACCTCGGTCATCGCGAACCGTGTCATCCTGAAACCTCTTCGGAGCCTCTTCTGATAAACAATATAAGGTAAAAGAAGATAAGATAGTTACCTTAGAAGCAAGTTAACAAATGCATGTGATTCACCGTATAAAGACTGTATAATACTTTAAGCTCTATAAAGTACACTTAGACACTATAACTTTATGAAGGTGTATCTACAATAAAACTTGTTTTCTAAGAAAAAAGTAAAGGATAAACTGCTGTTGGAGTAGTTCACCAGTAAAAACTTTACAATCTAATATAAGGACTGCCCTTTTGTGTTTATCAGTTATAGGCAGATTTTAGAAGTATGATACGAACCAGTTTTAGAAGCTGTATGATATCAGCATAGGCAGCTATTAACAGGTTTAGACAATCGATCCAAACATATAACAGAACAAACGTGGGTTGGATAAAATACCTGAAGACTTCCAATATTCATTAGGTCCTTCAGGTGATTTTTCGTAATATGTAAAACCAATGATGCTATTAAAATATTTTTCATTTAATTTAATAAGTGTACGTTAATATTGGAAATACGAATCCTATGAACGTGTACTATTAGCGCACTTTTTAAATCTTGCGCTGCTGAAACGCTTGCACTTCCTAATATTCATTCTAGTAATTCATATTAAATAAAAAAAAAAGAAGTATTCGAATTCACTGAAGAGCTGAAACCTATTGTAAAACTTTAAATCTTAAGCTTTGTGGTTCTAAACATGACATTCTAATGATGAATTCGTCATCGGGGATCCTAATTTATTCATGCATGGGCTGCTTGGATCCACTTCACTCACGAAAGTCATCTACCGCACTCTAGTACTTGCCATGTATATTTAATATGCTGTAGTTTTAGTCAGTGTTTATACCTGTATAAATGATTCTGTCAGTTAACCATAATCAGTTCAGAAGTGGATGCCTTGTTGAGTAATTGAGTGGTAATAATAATCTAGTAGCTAGTAGTAGTAATATATATATATATATATATATATATATATATATATAATAGTAGATATATTCAAGCTAACTACTAAAACTACACCGCCCGTTCTCGAACGCTGTCTAATCCTTAGCTTTAGTAGCAACCTAAAAGTTCCTATTAATTAAGAAAATCCTCCTCGCACATACTATTTATCACTCTCTCTAAGCAACGGTTTTCGCTTACACGGAGTCGTTTCAACCAATAAAAATATAATATTGATTATCTCTCTTGAGCACTTGGTTTGAAAAACGGATCAGTTATGGAGGTACACAACAGACTAATATTAAACAATCGTCTTTTTAATACTCAGTCATATAAACATATCTAAAAATATTAAAATACGGATGAAACCAAAACAGTTTTTTAATTTCCCTAAAAGCACTCTTTTAACATTGTCGGGGCCTATTCTTTTTAGCCTGTACTAAACATAGCAGTTTCTACTAACCATCTTCAAGCTCTCGCAAAGGAGTTCCATAATGAGTGTAATCACCCATCACTAACTTGTTAGCTTCTTAAAGCTGGGATCGCACTACTCCATGTCATGTAATTGATACATAGTCCGAACTGATCACATCGTCGGCAGTTGAAATACTGTTGTCCATTCAGTACCCCTGAGTAACTTGAATTATTTACACTGTAAGCAGCAACTTTATTTCGTTCGATTTTGACAGCATTGAAGAGCACACGACAACAAACCAACGCGAGATAAGCAGACGACACAGGGGCGCCATTATTTTCAAGTAAAGTGCTCTTTGCCTTTTAAATATATGAGCAAATTTATCAATCTTTGATTTATACAATCCTGAATGAATACCAGCCGATAAAAAATAAATCGAATTCAGATATCACATTACAGAGGAATATTGTATTATTTATTCCGATATTCAGAAGAAATATATATTCAATCCTGTTCGGCGTTCAAAAGTTTCTAAGTTGAGGGCACTATTTTAATAAATTTGATACTTGAGCTCGCCGAAAGTATCTACATTTACCTTTGATCTAATTTTTATTAGTATAAAGGATTTAATTAGACTAACTCTAAAATACTCCAATTAAAGGTCCAAAATGTTTTACCAAAAAAAACTATATAAGAGTTACCATAAAAAATGTATTTTTTTTTAATTTCATGAAGTCAAACAGAAATTTTATAAAATCTTTTATAAAATTTCTGTTCGTATAAGTTGTAATAATATAGTAAATATATATAGTCTATAGTAAGTAATATAGTCTGTAAAATAGTCTGTAAATGTAAAGGTTCATTTACCGATTTTCACCTGTCCGAAAGTTAAAATACAAATAGAACTAAAAGTTCAATGACATTGGTTTTGGCATTTGTTTCATATTGAAGTGCGCTAATTCTGAAGGACATTGCGATAAAACTAGACCATATGGTGCTCACCTAAATCGAAAGAGATAGTTTCTCAACGGGATTTAAATCATATAAATCGCAAGTACTAACATTGTTGTGGAAACACAATGAAGCAGTTCACGTTACAAATGAAGAGGTCCTAATTTAAAGAGTTCTGTTTTATGTTAGAACAAGCAGCGTTAAACATCTCCTTTGATTTTCGTGCGGTTACACACGCTTGCAGAAATCAGCTTATGCATTGGTAACTAAACAATTGATTCCGCCACACTTTGAGTGAACTAAAAAAAATAATGGATTACATCATATTGCGTATTGTGTGTACTCACAGTGTGAGCTCGACATACTTATACAAGATAAGAAACTATAGTTCTCTATTCGCCGTTATGTAATTTATTTCTAGTTAATTTCCTATGAGATAAATCTAAGATGAAGGATTAGTGGAGTACCCCGGTAATAAGTAACAGGCAAATCTCTTCCATCATTATAAACTAGCTCTATCATGCTCAGTCATTCGTGATGAAGAATTAAGCTCTAACCTAGTGAATATGATAGAGATATCACTGTTATTCGTATTAGTATTAGTGCGTATCACCAGCGAGCATAATGTCCGCAGTTGTACTCTATTGGAATCCTTCAAGACAATACGATTTAATGTTTCACCCTCACATATTGAGAGCAAGTCTCAGTAGACACCTCTCTTTTTTGGTGTCTCTTGTTTTTTTGTTGAGTGTATGTCTTTGGCGTGCTGATCATTTGGACAGCGCATGCCGTTCGTCATCCCGACATATAATCATAAGAAATCTGAGCACGGCAGCTGATGAAAGTACGGGCTTTACCAACAGGCACGCGGTCAAATGCATTCTACTGAATTGTAAGGGCGCGTTGTAGTGCGTTCTGCATCGTCTTTGTCATTAAGCCTCGTTTCCAAGCCGGAAGCATAACATACGGAGATAACGAATTTATGCCACACGGTCAGAAGGCCAAGGAGAAAGCATTGTTATTGACGACGCTTTGAACAACGGCAGCCAACATCTTCGCAATGTTTGTTCGTGTTTTTTTGCTGTAAAATAACGTTTCACAGAGCCCCGTGAGCTCGTCACCTGTTGCCCATATTCTGACTGACAATGGTTAGAACGATTCCAAACTGTTTATAGAGGAGCAAGTCGTACTCGATCTTTGATTTCTTATTAGTTCTCTCTAAAAAGATAATAAATGAAAGCTTCAATATTGTGTACAATGGGATGTTAGTCCGGCTACTTGTCATAGCTACCCGTAGAGCCAATATTAGTGATTTTTGACAAGCCGAACGTTATAAAACTCATAAGCGTCTCATTTAGAAACGCATCTGTGCTAAACATTCCCGATGTCTCATATATATAATTAATTAATGTTAATAATAAAAAAACACCCTATTTTCAGTTTAATAAAATCTGACTATCTATAGAAAGCAGACACTTGATCGTGGCATTTGATAATAATATTACCAAGTACTACCTAAAATTAGGTGATGTGCCTAACACAAAAGGGTAAAATGCAGGTTAAAAACCGATTCGATTACTTTTCACTGATTCTTCGTTTACGTAAAGCGACCGTTGTCCTAATATTTGCTTTTGTATCCCCCTTCGAAAGTTACGAGAAAATATAGCGTATACTGTACTGACAGACACCTTCGAAGATTAACAATCAGAATAAGTAGTCCTGTCTTAGACAATTAAGTAAACTCTCTCTTTCATGAAAATAGTTTTCCTGTAAGTTATGTCTCACAAAGACGTACTCATTAATATTACATTTACAGGTATCGTCAATAACTCGATATAAAAAGTTGTTTCGTCGTTAAGAGAACAAACACAGCGTATACGCAGATTTCCTGTAACCACTAAGACTTCCTTGAAACAATACTTATACATTATAACTAATTTCTTCTCATTGTTAATATGTGTATAAGCTTATTGATAAACCTGAGGCAAAGCAGAACCCTTGAGATCTTTACTCTTTCCACCTCACATTGTCATAAAAGCAGTAATGGCCAGCTGTTAGAGCCAGATTACATTATAGCTACTGTCACATCAAGGGTCACACAGTTGCCAGTCAAAGGGACCCTCAAAGGACCACGATAATCATCGCTTAGAGACAGGATCTTCAGCAAGAGTGCTGATTCAACCATGTTTATTACGATTGTTTGTACAATGGTCAGTTACCCAACGCGTGTGAGAATATATGCACAAAATGATATGCATTGTGATTTATAACGTATATATAGAGATGAGTTTGGCAGACCAAGAAAATCCAATAATTCAACCTATGCATCCAGAATTATGTGTGTTATAATTATTGATCATAAACAAACTAATCTAAATATGTTACTTACACCGAGTAAGGATTTGATGCTAATTTCGCCGTGCTCCACGATGGTTACCACCGGTATGGTGAACAAAGTTAATTTAATAACGAGCGTTTCGTCGCATGTATCCATGCTGCTCGTGATGGCAACACAACTCATTGCGCGTTTCAAGCAGCAGCTTTTGGTGGGAATGGCTTTCTGGCAGTGTGATTCAGAGAGCACTGCAGTGCAGTCTCGTTACTGGATATTGTTTTTGCGTCGAACCGAGAACAGGAAAATGCCTTAAAGGCACACAAAAGGCTCTTGGAACGTGGAACAGTGCTTCGTGGTCACTGGGTCTTCGTAATAATTAGAGATAGATACTCAAATAGTCAAGGACACTTGCGTACCGCATTCATCAGCGACAACTTGGTTGCGCAGTTGACAAAACAAAATCTCACAGGGACGTATCTCCATATATACTATATATATTACCATGACCGAAAAATTTCTACATTTCTACATTTCTACATTGATTGTTTCCTTCGTCGAGTTAGGATATAGGCACGCGAGATTATAATGCCATGTACTTTACCTAGAGAAAACAGCTACTGTTGGCGTTTCAAAAATAGTCTCTCTGTCTATCGGACAGATTGTTGTCGAGCTAATTTATTTTTTTTGTTACCCAATTTTGACAACGTGATATATTCTATGCAGCCGTATTTCACCTTGTAACAAGCGTCGGCGTGGACTCTACTTGCCGGTAATTTCAACATACAGTAAAGATGGTACAGCACAAGTAAAACATTGGGATGTCCCTTAGAATGTCTAGCTCCTATTCTAATCGACTTGTGCTTGAAACCTTACGTGTTTCATTACTGAAGATTTTGAACGTTTTGCCCTTTAATCGTATCGCGTCGAGCTTAGGATGATAAGGATAAGCTCAGTCTACTACTGTTAGCATTGATTTTCATTTATTATCGATTAAACATCGATATAATAAAACAATACTTTTATTTATTTCATTTGTTATTTACTCAATAACGGCTCTGTCGTTTTCCATCACGTACTCTAATTTGCTTTCAACCTACGTGGTTCTAAGTCTGTTTAAGCACTTTGGTGCGTCTTCATGAGGAAAGTATTTGGATTATTTTAATAGTGTTAACGTTTAGGGAAAATGTCAGGTAAAATCTGCTTTTTCCTAGCTTCATTAAACTTCATTGATTCACAAGATATCTTTGATACTTCACATTGTAGTTGCCAAAAACAACACGGCCGTTTTCGGCATGGGTATCCAACGCTCTAGTATAACTCAACGGATTAGATTCGACTCGCGTAAAACAGACACTCATTTAGTTTTACTGACGGCTTCTACGAAGTAAGCTTTCCATTTCGTTGCACATTTAATGTTTTTATATAATAAAGCTAATGCTTTATGATTTAGCAGACACCAGTCAGCATTTATTCTATTCGCTGCTCAGTCGTTAGGCAATATGAATTATTCTATTGGTATAAATAGCTAATTAATTTTGCTTATGTTTGATTCCACTGATTTTATGTACAGTTTTTGTCATGGCGCTCTATTATTGGCATGTACATATGTGTTCTTCTTGACTTGAAACACTATACTTGTGCTTCACGATGAATTAACCTACAATTTACTAGAAAATAGACACTATTGCCGTGAGGAAAAGTTGACAGGAATGACACCCATTGGTTTCTTTGACCGGAAACGTGATACGGACGCTCCAACAGTTAGTGTCGCCATAGGATCCAAGAACGAAACGTATATAGCATATCTGTTGACGAAAAATCACATTATAAACGCGATTCCAAAACCGACGAGTAATGCAACAAGCGATGTGGACAAGCATGCACTTAACATATAACGTCGGGATAGCCCTGGGACGCAACTGAGATATTTGTGACCAGGACACCGATACAGTTTCCTTAGGTTAGGACAAATGCTCCATGGACCTCTTTGCTGATCGCAATGTAGATGCCATATGCATCTAAGATGCTGACAACTTCCGTAGCCAATCGAAGCATACAGACGAAGGAAAGGCCGAAACCGAGGAAAAAGCTAGCCACGAAATACCATAAGGGTCTGTTGTTTATCGATCACCCAAGTATAATCATTCCGATGAAGCAACCAGTACTAATAAGAGCG